GGGTATTTCGGCCATAGTGTCGGCCAAACTGAACTGAAACTGAAAACCGCTGCCCAGTTTGCCTGGCCTTGAACAGTTGTGTTAACGGCCAGGGTCACGAAAACCTAAGTAGAGGTGGCAGGTTTGGAAAATTCATGGTAAGGGCGAATTGTAGCTAGTATCTCAGAATTATGGTGTAAACTGAGACCGCATAAACACACTGTTATCGCTGTTTGAGTGGATCCAGATGTAAAAGTTACAGGACGGAACGTGAACTGTAAAGAAAACCACTGAATTCCTAGTGAAGACAACCGGAAAGTGCCGATGCTATTACTACAACCTCGAAAAAAATTTATCGTTAGTTCGTGTTCCGTGGGGACTAGAGGAGACTGCAGCCTACGATGAGAATAGTTGCGGATGTCATTAATCTGGGTATAGATGTACCATGCCATTATTGCTAATTTTCCAAGTAAAACAGCCGAGTCAGTTTGAAGAAACAAAACGGCCGTTGGAACAGACAAGATGCGGAGGACGAAACATCACCTAACATCGTGACAATGAGAATAGAATGACAGTATTCAGAGGAGTTCACCATGTCTAATTTACGACGGAACGTTACTGTCTCAAGCAGAACTCCACCGCAATGTTGTGTATGTCGATAAGCTAAACATTTATACAACGCTTTCCTCCATTTCGCATCATCAGACGATGGTTTTTGTGGGCGTATTTTTCCCTCCCAGAATAGGAAAATCTGACTTTGATTTGCTAAGAAAAACANTCCGTAATATATCCAATCTTCTACTATATCAAGGCGGAGTTACGAGAAAACCACATACGCCCCGAAAGCCTGATCAGTAGTGTTAACGTTACACTGGTACAAATACGTTAGAGCACCAGCCTAAGGAAAGATTCGACGATGACTGCATGTGACGTATATAAGAGCCGCCCACCAGACGATCACCTAAATCAAGGAGTAATGGCTGAGCTACCTCCTTCTTGTGGTGAAGTAAGTGAAAACTTTAACCTAGCAAGACGATAAATTAATTCACGTTGATTCGACTCTATTTTGTTCGTCTGCCACTGAGGCAGCATGCCCTTGAATTGGATCAGTTATTTCTCAAGGCCTTATGTACGGTGCACAACAGCTTCAAGTTACACCGCATGAGGAATCAGCACATGAAGGTGGCGTCTGGTAAGAACGGTTTTACAGGGATGTCACAGATGAAGTGAGTGCCTCATGTAGTAAGTATTGCGACCGGATTACTAGCCAGTAACATCGTTTTGATGGATAGGTACGTGCTAGTTGTGTATGTGAGGTAGGCCGGCTTAGCTCTCCGCTTTGACTTGCGCAGGCAATTCAAATGAGAATTCTTGGGCCTCCCTTGTACTGGGTTGATCAGCATTTGGTTGACAATAAGGGAGTCGTGCAAATTTCTGGCTTCGAGATACCCGGTGACTTCAAAAGACCGACTAAGTGTAGCCTGCTATTTTTCGCCATTTTCATGGAGAGTCCTGCTGCCAGTAGTTATGACCTGAATGTTATCGGGGCGATATCAAGGCCTGCGCCTCGACTTAGGAGCACGGGCCACAGAAGAAAATGGGTTTGCTTTTATTGTGGCTAATTTTAGTGACGATGCCAGACGGCATGCCCCTCGCCAATTGGGAACAAACGGTATTTTTTCGACAAATACGCTCACTTTCGCATAACCCTGTATTCACACCAGACTCAGGGTATTATCTCGCCTATGACATTCTTCCACTGAATTTGTTTCAAAAGGAGCACCTGTTTAATTTGGCACGATGTTTTAGATACCGAATTTTAAATCCACGAAGGAAAATAAACGGATGTTTCTTGGAGAATCCTGGGCAGTGCACGACCGTTTCGCCCTGTTTGTGGCTCCTCAAGTGGGTGCAGTCCTCGAATTTCCGTCAAACGTTTGAGCCCGTGTTTAATAGATTACAACAAACACACATATCTGCTATAAGTTCGCTTCAACTGATGACTCAAGCGAATTTCTAGTTTATGATATTCTTCGACCTTGCGAATAGATTCCATTATGAAAGCATGATGCTATATCCCGAATTTCGCACCAGAAGGAACATAAAGCGGACTCTGGAGCACATCCAATTGCAGAATATTACATGCGAGATATTTAGCCGGATCTCACATGAAAACATTTTGATATACAAATGGGTGCATTCGTTAAAATAGTAGCGTTTATTCTTGACCGATGAGTGGCATGATCACAACGGTAATCCGAATAGTCGCGATTTTCGTCACTTGTAGGGCCCGGCAATGGGAGGAAGCAGGCAAGTCCCAGGAACAATTGGAACTATTCGATGCGGATGATTTCATGCCTCAATTAACGCGAGCTAAATGTAATGAACCTCGGAGGCGGGGAAACACATTCAGTAGTTGTTTTCTAGCTGGGATGGAGCATACGAAATTGAAGCAAGTTCAGGCGGTTACAATTCGAAGATGGGGCAACAAGGTGACACGGAGAAGGTAAAACTAGAACACCTGCCTAGAACGCAGTAAGATGCTGTAGCCTGAGGAAAAAACTTTGGACAGTGGATCTGGAGAAGTACGGGTATTTCGGCCATAGTGTCGGCCAAACTGAACTGAAACTGAAAACCGCTGCCCAGTTTGCCTGGCCTTGAACAGTTGTGTTAACGGCCAGGGTCACGAAAACCTAAGTAGGGGTGGCAGGTTTGGAAAATTCATGGTAAGGGCGAATTGTAGCTAGTATCTCAGAATTATGGTGTAAACTGAGACCGCATAAACACACTGTTATCGCTGTTTGAGTGGATCCAGATGTAAAAGTTACAGGACGGAACGTGAACTGTAAAGAAAACCACTGAATTCCTAGTGAAGACAACCGGAAAGTGCCGATGCTATTACTACAACCTCGAAAAAAGCTTATCGTTAGTTCGTGTTCCGTGGAGGCTAGAGGAGACTGCAGCCTACGATGAGAATAGTTGCGGATGTCATTACTGTAGCCTGAGGAAAAAACTTTGGACAGTGGATCTGGAGAAGTACGGGTATTTCGGCCATAGTGTCGGCCAAACTGAACTGAAACTGAAAACCGCTGCCCAGTTTGCCTGGCCTTGAACAGTTGTGTTAACGGCCAGGGTCACGAAAACCTAAGTAGGGGCAGAGGAGTTCACCATGTCTAATTTACGACGGAACGTTACTGTCTCAAGCAGAACTCCACCGCAATGTTGTGTATGTCGATAAGCTAAACATTTATACAACGCTTTCCTCCATTTCGCATCATCAGACGATGGTTTTTGTGGGCGTATTTTCCCCTCCCAGAATGGGAAAATCTGACTTTGATTTGCTTTTTGTCAGTCAGTGCTAAGAAAAACAAAGCACCAAACATTGAAGAGAGCTGATAGAGTAATTCATGTCAGGAACCTAGACAGAAGGAACGAAGCATAATTTCCCTATCAGTACACGCGGTGCAAAATAACCGAGTTTTTCGATCATACGGATTATACTTCAAATGACCACCTTTTATGGTTAACAGGTGGTTATTTGCACCAACACAACCGTCAAATAGCCGTGTTTGCCGGTTATTGGACGGTTAAATAAATGTCAAATAATCGTGCTTTCCCACTGCAGTGGGAATGACTCTATGTATATAGTGGAGTATGTATGTACAATGGAGTGTGATGGGCCCCATCCTCTTCCAATTATGTATCGACGACGTCTTTGGTGCCGTGTTCCATGGTACACCCTTCCCTTTTGCCTGCACATTTCCTCCCTCTGGGCAAGCGCTTACCTTTCACTTTCAACGAAATTTAGAGTCGCTGACTCGCTGGTCAAATGCCTCCGGCCTAGGCTTCTCTTCCGCAGAGTCCTTAATAACTTCCTGTCGCTGCTCCATCCTACCTAATGCGTTCACAGTTATTGGCAAACTGCTAACTCATTTCACAGAAATCAAAGAGCCCGGTCTCAGATACTCTTGTACGTTTAGCTTTTCCCACCAAAATCCAGTTCCAGGTCGCCCGAGTACATAGGCCCAGCTTTATAATATTGCGCTCCATTCACCTTCGAGACTCAAAAGCCACAATTTTTTTTAGCTATGCGTGCCACCGATCATGGAGTGCTATCCGGCATTTTCTCCCCTATATGCACAAAGTTGCAAACTAGTACTTGAAAGCCTCTGATGCTCATTCGACTCAAAAGCACAATTTTTTTTAGCTATGCGTGCCACCGATCATGGAGTGCTATCCGGCATTTTCTCCCCTATATGCACAAAGTTGCAAACTAGTACTTGAAAGCCTCTGATGCTCATTCACCAAAAATTTGTTGCCACAGTCCAGTCCTCTTTCCTATCGCTCCCGCTGCATAATCTTGGGCCTTGAACCACTATGGCTCAGACTTTTTAGGCTAAACCTTACTTTCCTACACCGTATGTTGCACTAAAATGCCCTTCTAGCAGACGCCGGGCCAAAGGTAAATTCCCGTCCTCGCCACAAATTCCGTATCTCCAGCGACCTCTGTTTGCACTCCAGCTCGTACTAACGCCACCACTTCTTCCTAGCTTACTACGCTCGCTTCTTGAAGAGTCTCCCTGAACACATTCGAAATAGCACGTCATACGTTTTCACAGTCGTAGATAACTTCGTTACTCGTGGAGCTGTTGTCGACCTACTTCATACCCAACTGCACCCCCTCTATCTCTCCTACGAATCGGGTCCAATGCATCTTTGGCTTTAACAACGTTACAGTTAGTAAGATTATTCCTCTGTTATACCCTGCTAGCTCCTTGATTTACTCCAAGCAGCGGCTGCCTACTGAATGCCTGCTCTACTTGAGTGTGCCGTATTACTGGTCTGGCTTTTCCCCTAAGACAACTTATGATTCGTTCCGTCTAGCTAGGTTCCTGACCTGAATTACTCTGTAGGCTCTCTTCAACGTTTGGTGCTTTGTTATTTTTAGCACTGACTGACGTAAACCAAAGCAAAGTCGGATTTTCTCATTTTTGAGAGCGAAAAATACGCCCACAAAAATCATCATCTGGTGATATGAAATGGATGAAATCAATTTATGATTCCACACCCCTGGTGTTCAAATAACCTCTGACGAAAACGTTGTCGGTGGAATATGCAGACTTCACCATCATCGTGTTCGAAGAGGGGAATAAGGCGGTGGCGTTTCGGGATGAATTGAACAAAGTTATCTCTTCCGCCGTCATGCGCTTTTACCCCTAATATCTATGTTCATGCTCCTGGACATGCAGTCACTGAACACGCCCTTTTACAATCTATGGAGAGGCACTCGAAGTTGAGCGTTTTATTTATCTTGGAGGTCATGCTACCTCTGTAGTCTGACAGATGAGGTCAATGCTCGAATCTCTAGGGTTCGTGTCCCGCTTGCTAATTTGAGGCATTTATGACGTCAAAGCTCTATGTTCCTGATCCACGGGGGACATGTGTATCAGGTTACAGTACGGTTGTTTTGTTTTATGGTTGTGAGGCTTGGCCTTTTCGAGCAACGGAACTGTGATATGTTGAAGCGTTCGAGAATCGTCGTCTCAGAATCATAGCTCGTGTGGGTTGGCGTCGGTGAGCCTATAATGAGGCAATTAGAAAGCGATCGTTCGGACGGGGACTTCCACCGAACAATCCATCAATCACCAGGTGGTGCGCTGGTTAGGCCATTTATTTAGTATACCGAGCCATCTGCCGAAGAGGGTGCTGTTTTCCGTGCCATATTTGTCATCGTCATCAGAGTCAAAAACAGTGTTGACAGTGATACTTGACTGCCGTCCAACTCTAAAGTTCGTCTAAGTATATTTAAAGCCTTGGAGTGAAGGGAAGAAAAAAGGATGGGTTAGAGAGGAGACCTAGTGTTCGTTTGCGTCAAGCGTTCTGAGGTGCACACACCTCCAAGCCCTCAGTCAGACAATGTGGAAAAAACTGGCAGTACGGACGCCGCTGGCATGGATCAGCCGCCGTTTCTTGCAATGCATCCAGTCGAGCGCAGGTGGGGTTACGGGGATCTCATCCTGGAAGGCGTACAACACCAGCTATTCGTAATCTATTTCACACTCTCCTGCCAAGTCATATGTTGTACGTCTCGCGGTTTGTGCCAGTCTGAGGTCGGAGGAACGGATGGCAACACTCTTTTCGTTAGGTGGTGTTTTGGCATGTGTGGAACGTGACTGAGCCATCGTGATCGATGATGCTGGATGTTACCGGTGATTGTAAAACCAAACTGTACAACCAAATACCCGTTTTATAGTCCGTTGATGTTATCCGACACCAGCGATGCTTCCGAGGCATCTGTCCGCAGAGGCCACGTCTCCCAGCCATGTAACATCACAGCCTTTGTTGTAGCCTGGCACACACTTGATTATCATGAGGTTTCGCGTGCCACCATAAGACGACGAGGAATCAGTGACGCCAGGAACATTGTTACAACGACAGTCCAACTGACATCTCTGTGGTTACTGCATTTACTGCAAGTACCCTTTTTGAAAGTGGGCACTATTATTGGTTCAACCCACTTGTCTGGGATGATTTCTTTCTCCCAGATGGACGCAAATAGGCTATACAGGCACTGGCTTATAAACTCACCTCAATCCTTGAGCGGAGCAGTGGAAGGTCTTCAGGATCAGCAGCACGATGACGCTTGAGTAGAGGTATACACTCGAACACTTCTGAGTTTGATGACCGCTCTATATTCGCAGTCCACCGTTCTGTTGAGGGTCAGGATTCCGGATTGGAGGTAGTGGTTGGCCAACTGAATTGCTGTTCGAAGTACTCTGTTCATGAGTCCAAACGTTATGCTGTGTTGGATATCAGGAGGCCGTTTTGGTTCCTGGCAATTTCGCAGACAAAAGGCTTTCGAGGACCAGTCGACCGAATCAAATAGAACAACTTGCGGACGTTTCCAGCATTTGTTGCCCTCATTGTTGTTGTTCCATTTCTTCGGCCTTTCGAGTCCACCAAGCTTCTCGGTCTGCACACACACTCGGTTTCGAATCACGGATCTTCTGGTCAATAAGTTCGCGTTCTAATCACCGAGTCAGCTCACCACCAAATGATGTCTAAATACAGGGTTGTCAGTGGACTTTTAAGTGGGGAGACTAGAAAGGGAGCTATGCGTTGAATGCAATCGCTTAGATGTACGAGCGGCGTTGAGGGCGCTACTGGACTTTGTATGACAATATCTCCCATTGGAGGTGGGCGAGATGGCTCAGTGTTTGGAGCGCAGATTTACTGAACAGAAGGTCAGTGGTTCGAACCCGACCTCTGCCGTTCGACTTAGCCTGCCTAGGCTTGGGGTACCTGGCATCATTCCATCCCTCGTACTTCCTTCGGCTGGCATGGTAGTTGGGCACTGAGAGGGTGCTACAGCTGAACGACTCCTATTGATGTGTCCCGTCTCGGGGTTCCCATCCAAGGACACGACAATAACCAGCACATCTGGGTTTTCTGGCATTGCCTTTCATACTTCGCTGCCAAGTGATTGTTTGACATCCCCTGGCTTCTTTCCACCATTCGCGTGGCTGTGTGAAAGGAAGTCGATGACTGGCATGCGGACCACGTGGCCAAACCAACGCAACCTATGGAATGCAATCAGTTCGTTTACCTTAAGGCGATTTATTTCCTCCTCGACCTGTTTCAGCATCGCTGTTCCGGTCATCATCATCATCCCTATGGAATGCAGTTCGTTTACCTTAAGGCGACTTATTTCCTCCTCGACCTATTT